GCCAGTAGTCCCAGCTACTTGGGAGACAGAGGCAGGAGAATCGCTTGAGCCTGGAAGTTGGAGGTTGATGTGAGCTGGGATGCCACGGCATTCTACCCAGGGTGACAGCTTGAGGCTCTGTCTCAAAAAATTAATTAATTAATTAATTAAAAAAGAAAGCATACTGAGAGATGCCTTTATGAATAAAAGAAAGGGAACCCTGTGAAGTCAGCTGTATTTGCTATAGCAGACTAGCAGACACTGGCATTTATAGGGTCTTAAGGTAAATGCTCAACAGGGCTGCAGAAACAGATTTCAGAGTCCCACCTTTTTTTTCCTAACCAGGAGCCTCTATAAGATGTGCTCAGCCATATCTAAGACTTAGTATTCTTGGCTGAAGAATTTCTGAATCATGAATGTTGATAAAGACAGAAGGACAGACTTTTTTAAAAATTTTAGATTAATATAATGGTACATATGATTGGGTTACATTGTATTTGTTAGGTAGCATCGGAGTTGTAGTTGAGTCTTTCACCCAGGAGGTGTGCCACATACTCCTACATTGTACCTGTTAGGTAGATGCTTACTGAGCTCCCTCCCCACAAGGATGGATAGTTCCACTCTAACATTGCCCAGACACTTCCTCTAGGCCATGCAGGTACTCAGTGCCCTAGAGAGAACAAAATGGAGGAATAAGCAAGCCCTGCTGTTAGGGACCTCACGGGCTGGCTGTTACCACCTTTGTCCTTGTCAAGTTTTACTAATTGAAGAATCTGTGAGGATCTTGCTTCAGGAGGCACTACATTAGAATTAAAAAAGAGAGAAATTATTTTTCCCTTCCTTGGAAATAACCTCTCTTTATTGCCCAAGGCTTGGTTACCTGATACTACATAATCACCCACTCCCATAACTTCTTATCTTAAAATAACAACTTATTATCATCTCTAACTGTTCGATGGGATCACTGAGCAAGTCTCCTTTGGAGTCAGATGTCACCTGGGGCTGGGGTTATCTAAAGGTTCAACTGGACTAATGTCTAAGATGGCTTGCTCCATAGTTGGCAGTTGATTTTGGCAGTCACCTGGGTGCACTGCTGGGGCTGTCAACTTCAGCTCCTACTTATGACTTTCCCATCTGACTTGGGTTTCTCCCATCATGGTTGCTTTTCACCAGGGCAACTATTTCAAGAGACCCAGGCAAAAGCTGCAAGCTCCTTACCACCCAGCCTTGGATGTCCCAGAAATTCCCTTTTGCCACATTTCTATTGGCTAGTCAAGTCACTAAAGCTAACCCAGATACTAGGAAGGAGAATGAGAATCTGTTATAAAGAGTACATATGTGTTTTGGGAGGGAAGCATTGATGGTTGCTATTTCAGGAGACAAGTTATCACAATGGACAAAATCCAGAATATCACATAGAGGAAGGTTAAGAGAAGCCCCTTCCCTGTGTACCTTAATGTCTGGGGTAGACATTAAGTGCAAAAGTAAACAAAATGGTTAAAAGAGAACTGTACCCAAAGCAGGAAATGCTGACAAGGATGGGGGAAATAAGAAAGAAAGGAAATCCCTCCTAGACTATAACATTCATACAATCCACATACAGGCCCATCTGGAGAAAGCTGCAGGACCAACATCTGTCAGGCACAAAAGTTAGGCTCTATGAGAGAAAACAGAAGACTGTGTGACATGGCATCGTGGAGAAGACTGATATTTTCAAATAAATGTGGTAGATGCAGTAGTAGATGAACCCCAGCCAAAGAAGGGAGGGAACAGTCCGTTCAGGGTTTGTCTCCTATTACCAGTGAGGGGAAAGCTTTCATGAAAAAGGTGATCTGGAGGGAGGTCATTTGCATTGGAGTTGCTTCCCCTCGCCCAGGAGTCATTCTGAGACCAGTGGACTTCCTTAAGGTGCCATTGGCACTGTCTGCTGTGGTTCCTGTTGCTTTGTAAACCTCCAAGATGAATGGCCTGCAAGGCATAGTCTAAATTCTTGTAAGTCAGCAGCTCCTCCTGGTGGTCAAAAAGCTGACTGGGGCTAGGAAATGGGAATTTTGAATGATCCTCTTTGAGCAGCTCAATCAGTCACACTGAGACTTACCTAAGGTGACCAGATTTTAACATTGGTAAAGCGGGACACCATTGACCGGGCTGGGGGGGGTGGGATGGGGGTTGGGGGGTTCTTAATTAAAAATTTAGTCTATATGGAGCAACAAAAATTTTCATAGAATGCAAAAATAGTATTGTTATATATATGTATATAATATATATATTTAATTTCAACATAAGTACAATTTACAAATATAACACACACAAAAAAATTATGTATAAGGTGGTGCCTGTGGTTCAAAGGAATAGGGTGCCGGCCCCATATGCTGAAGGTGGTGGGTTCAAACCCAGCCCTGGCCAAAAAAAAAAA